AAATCAGAAGTTCAAATGCAGGCTCTACGAAAAATCTTGATTAAGAAATTGTCTAGTCTTAAATTCACTTTTACTTGACCAACACTTGCTAATATCTAAATCCCTAATAACTAGGTAATAGTAAACTAATTCTCTTCACCAAAGACACTCATGTCTTCCTGAAAGAGACTAGTCCATGGGCTATTATTCACTACACCTTTTCCTCCTGAAAGTACTGCTGCACAGGTAGTCTACAAACCGATGAAATGAACAAAAATAAAATTCTATAATCTCAAAATACAAGATGTTGCTGGAAGTATACTGCCCTTTTCAAAATGGAAAAAACTCAGCCATTTTTATCAAGAAATTAAAAATAAAAAAGTATATTTCATTAAAACACATTAGGAGGCAATGGCTTTTATCTCTGACTAAATGCCCAGCCTTATTTTATTCCCAGTCCCAGTTTAAGTATTTTCAACCTATGTTGGATCTGTCACTTATGTACATGAATGGCCTTTCTGAAACCAGTATCAAGTTAAGGCTTAACATTTGATCTTAAAAAAAAAGAAAAAAAAAAAAATATAGAGAGGGGAGAGAAAATTGGACCCGGATCAAGGTTTGTGTGTATTGATTTACAGAAATCAAAACAGATGTTTGAGCAAAATGCCACTGCTCAAACAAGAAGCATATTTCATATTAAGACAAGTAGGACAGATATCAGCAAGCAGACATTTTCTACAACATCTCAAACAAAAACAGGCTGAAGTGATGATTCCAATTTTGAACTTTGAAAGGGCAATAACTGTCCTTTTCACTTTTACGTAAGAGTAATTTTTTTCTTCAAAGTTCTCAATGGCAATTACAAGACGCTGCATGATGCAGTAAATTTATCAAATGAAGACACAACCACTATCTACTTTCAAAATTAAAGCGTTAACAGATTTATTAGAAGCACATCATAACAGAACTATTACTCTGTTTAAATGATGAAGACTAGCCAAATTACGTCTTGGATGCATAACCCAGGACACAGCACTTTGTAATTCTATTTTCACTTTTTTTTTTTACAGAATGTTTCACTTACATTTAAAATTCATAGTCAGAGTAATAGTCATCTCTTGGAAAATTTAATACAGTTTATATTTATAAGAAGCAGATAGTTCAGAGTTGTAAAACCTAAAACCAGTGAGCAGAATATCACAGTAAATTTCTGTTAAATCCCTTCTACAAGGGTAGATATTGAATTTGCTATAAATTACACCTACTTCTTCAAATAGACTCCATAAAACTTATTATAAAAAAAAATTCCAAAATACTCAGTCATTAGGAGGAACTAATAAATAACTAGATAAATTAACTGAAATTTGAATACACAAGATGAAACTAGAAGATTTGATTCAAATCTCACAACCTTAGCAGAATACTTCAAAATTCATTAGCTTCCCCAAACAGGCTGCTTAATGCTTCCTTAAATCCTACTTTTACAGAATCAAAAATATTCTGGAGACAAACCTTCTCCAAGTTATTCTACAATCAGAGGGAGATTAATTCTGGCTCATAAAACCATATTAGGAATTGGAAAGTAACCCCAATTCATCAGGATTTATAGCATTTGGAGTTATGAACTATGAAGAGAATTCCATTAGCTTTTTAATATATTGTTTATCTTCAGTCTACCAGTGGGCTGCACCACTTTGTGCATGATGACATTAAACCCAGTGTTTTAATAAATCATTATTTGAATTTATATTTCCTTAGATTTTTTTTCTTCCAAAAGCCAATATTAAAGGGTTGGCATACATGACAAAGCCTTATTAAATAAGGTGGTATAAGAAACTCGTAATAAAAAATGAAATACATTCTTTTGTTCAGAAATAAATAGCAAAGTTATTACCAGCCTACCTAGGAACAAAAGTTGATTTGTACATGTCCACTGACAACAGGAGAATGAAAAATTAGGCTTTGAAGACAGAAAAGAACCCACCTTTTCTTCACATCAGATGTCGGCACATAAATCCAGCCCACCCCCCAAAAAAACAAGAGCTACAATTACATGAGGAATTTCTGCCTACTTCCCAGCTGCTGTAAGAATAAGGAATGCAGGCAGAGTCCCTGGGGAACTTAGCTCCTAAAATCCATGTGCAGACGGCAGTTTTTCGAAACTTTAATTTGATGCACCTTGTATAGATTTCCATGGAGGCAGCAGGTGGCTTACTGTGGAAAGACAGGCTTGCTACTTGTCAAATGCTGCAACCCCATTCCAAGGCTCACTCAGCAATATTATAGAGATTTTCAGAGCGTAAGAAGCCAAAATACTTTTTCCCTGATTTAATTCTGAACAGTGTATCAACTGCTCTGTATGAGAAGTTTCCAGAGGTAGTCCGCTAAAGCATTTATCATCTTTTAAATTAAATCAACAGGATTGCATTTGGTAAAGTTATAAAAATTGAAACCCATCTAACAAATGCAAGGTATTTGGTAATCTTACTATGTAGCATTCCTAGTTTCACCCACAAAAAAAGCTGGGTATCAGTTCAGAATGCCTTAACCCTGTACGTTAATGCAAACTATTGAAGCCAGCTTTGGAACCAACAATTACTCAAAACCAAAGGTTTCTGCCTTGAAAGTGTCCCTAGCCAAGTAAATTTCTCCCCTGTCCCACCCAAATCATGAGTTAAAACATTATTATATAAAATGACATAGACTCAATCACAGAGAAGCAACTTATGTACATGAATGTTCACACTACTTACAAATTTTAAGAACTTCATAAGACCTCAAGAACAAGTATTTTCCTGCTGTTCATACAAGATACGCAGTTATCACAATTTCATTTTCCAAATAACAACACATACAAAATTTTAACTGCTGAGAGAGCAACCACTACAAGAGTTGATCGTTAAAAAAAACAAAAAACCTCCAACAGTATAAGAACTACTGTTCTACAACTGAAAGGATGTATTTGGAAAGCAAATTAAATGTTATAATCACTACATTCACAACAGCTGAACTTCAGTCTAATCCTCTGTACTGACTTGAATGCTTATTATATCCATAAAACCTTACCTAGGCTTGCTGTGAGGCATTCCAGATCTGCTAAAAACCCGGGTATTTGTTGGAGCTGATCCTGTAGTTCCAACAGACTGTTCCTTTTCTTCTCCCAGTGTGCAGAAAGCATCACGACCTCACTATCAACCAGCTGAAACAAACAGGTATTTGATTTACTTGTAAATTTATCTACCTTTTATGAGCATCTTGGCTTATTTTTAGAATTAATGCATCTTCAAGCATAAGATCAGCAAAATAGCCCTGAAGTACTGCCCCTTGTGTAGTTCTCAAGAAAATATAAAATATGCTTAAGAACTCCCCTGTAAAACAAATTATTTATACCAAAATGCATTGAACAAAATAAGATTAAAAGTTATTTCTCAATATACTAATCAATGCAGGAAGTATTTTATGGATGTTATTCACTGTAAATAAGATGTACCTGAAATTTTGGCAGCAGTGTCGCACTGGTACACAATAACATAGCAGTGCTGCAATGTAAGGCTTATTTAGATTAATAGTTTAATGTTGCTAATCTTATCGATTGAATCTTAACAACAAAACTGAAAACTTTGCACATTCAAAATAATCTAGAAAAAGAAACAAAAGGAATGACATTTTTTAAAAAGTTGCCTTTATAACAGCATTGCTCCTCTCCTCTCATGATTAGTTTAACTGCAGTTGTGCCAAGTTTTTATGAACACAATTCTGCATTACTTCGATTTTTGTTCTTCGATTTTTCCTAACTTTTACTATATAATAGTATAACGCACTTATGCAGGTCACATTCTATGAAAAACAGCAAGATCAAGAGATCTTACATAACAAATATTTCCTTTATATATAATTGAGATAATTATCATTTCCCTGCTCTTAATTCCATTATCCATCCTTCCTCTTGCACACAACTGCAGCCTGTGCCTGTATCTGCATTCCGAATTCCTCAGTTTTTATAGTATTTAGTTGCAGAAACTGAAAAAATCTAAGCAATGAGCAAATGAGCTCTCAGACTTATAATTCTACGCACTTCAGATTGATTCTTTTAAAAGAATAACTTCTGCCATCACCAAATTCCTCTAGCTACCTATCCCTGTCAAAAAGACATCCTGTTTTACTAGAAAAGTTTTGAAAACCTATTCCAAAGCCCAGCAAGTAATGGAACACCTCAGAAGACCAACATCCTTATTAAAATAAAGCCGAGTCTATTTCTGAGAATGAGATAGGATTTACATCAGTTGAACAGTAAAGCAAACAAACAACAAAAAAAAACCAAACAAGCCACCACGAGATGGGGTCAAACACCAGAAAAACATTTCAGCCCAGAGATAACAATGCAGCTTCAATGACAATCATCTAAAAGCAGTACCTGTAGGAAATTTTGTACATGGAATTGGTAGTTAACATCAACCATTTACCATTGTAAGACTGTAGGCTGTAATTAAAGCTTGAAATTGTCACTTTCCTTTCTCTATTCAACATTTACAAATAAGACAGCAGAGCAGTTTATCTGCTACTGGCCAGTACAAGAAATAGGATACTGGAGAATAGATCTTTAGGTCTTATACAGTAAAGTCAATCTTGTGTTCATACACAATTTTTATTTTCTATTTTTATAAAAGAAGAAACAAACAAAACCCCCACAGGCAATATATATATCTGATTGTCCCAAAAGTAAATATCTGAATTTCATGGAAAATTTCAGTCTCTTTGGAAGTTTTTCATTCTCATTTTCCCAAGCAGCTATAACATGTGAGATTAAGGTTATATTGGTCTAGAACATATGAAACCTCATATCATTTTCAGAACCATAATTTTAAAAGCAAACTATAGCAAGCAGCAAGTATTACAAAATTGTGATCGAGTCATTTAAGAGATCTTAAAAAAAATCCTTATGAGCAGTCAAACATGCAAAACTGACAGAGAGAACTTCATCTCTAATAACTGAAAGTTTTCACTGGAACATGTGAAAAGGTGGGCCATACTATTAGGCAAGAGAAAGAACATAAGATATTTTCTTTATTACCATAAATACACAGGGAATTATTTTTCCATTGGAAAAAGATACATAGAAGTCTCCTAAGTAAAACAGAAGAGCCAGAGAGGATGCACCCAGCCAAAGTGAAGGTTTCAGCCAGGACAAAGGACCCTACAGCTCAGTCCTGCTCAGCCTACACTGTCTGCCCCTTAAACAAGGCTCAAAATGGAAAGTCTGGTGAAGAGTAATGCATTGGTAACACTTACTGGAAGTTTCCTTTCTCTTATTCCACAAATAAACCACACAGCTTGTCACTTTGCTTCCAGGGCAGGAACACTGAACAAAATTAGGAGAAAGCAGACACTTCCCTCATCTTTTCAGTCAGACAATCAAATCTTGCCATTTCTCGTCCACTAGGAGTGCAACAGCCCTACCCTGATAGTAATCATCAACATGCCTCAACCTCAACTATATTCTATACTTTCCCAGCCTCCCCACCGCTTTTAAAGAGCTACAGCATAACATGCAACATCATTTTTGCAAGTGTTTACATTGCACCACATTATTTCATGTTTGCATTACACTCTTGTTTACATTACTGCGCGAGTCAACAAGGTTGTGTGGGTGCTTACCTACAGGTCAGGGTTAACCCTCTATGCTAGTACCAAAAATTTTAGTTTAAAATTACTTACACATTTTAAAATATTTCAAGTATGGCACTGTTGTTTTTTCTCACCTCTCCAGCTTTTGCACAGTCTTTGGCTCCTTTGTGAAGGGCAGCCCACGCATCTTCATATCTGAAGAGAAGATAAATTACTATTCTTACTGTGCTCCCCTTACAGAGGAAGATTTCATAGAAATCACTGAAATTACAGGCACTACCAGATATTGCAGCTTAAAAAGCTGCACAATTATTGTCAGTATTTACTGTTCTACCGAGAAAAATATACAGTAAGAAATAATATCTTTTAAAGACAAAGGGATTAATGTTTTTTAACCTGCTAGCTTACATTAAAAGTTAAATGGACCCAGCAATATTTATAAGACTACACACTGCCTTCAGCATTACTTGGAACCCAATTTCACTAAGAAAATGAAAAAAAACCCAACAACAACATTGTAATCGCACATACACCTCCCCCCCCCCCCCCCAAAAAAAAGAGAATAGATTATTTTAAGATACAAAGAAAACTTATAACACAGATAGCTTCTGTTATTCAGCAAAGATGTGATTAAATACATGTGGAATACACTTTCTTTTCAAGGCAATGACAGGCATATTGTCTCTCTTGTTACAGAAGGAAATCATAACAAACATGTCTAAGTTACAAAACATCAAATGGAAACCACAGACTGGGACTCAGTGCCGGTCTCCTAATTAGCTGTGCATTAGAACATGAACTAAAGTCATCTTTCAAGATGACTTGAACATCTCCAGAACTTCTGTTACATTACCATGACAGCACTTGAGTATGGGGCACGCTTTAAACTTATTTGTCGTTTGGTAACCACTCTCACACTCCTAACTGCAGAACATCCAAACACCTACTGGCAGCACTTTGGTTTTCTTTCAATTACCTTAATCTAATAAAGTTATTTATGAAATTATAGGGAGCAGGCACTAAGAAAGAACAGGAATGTCATACCTGCTGAGTAATTCCAGTCCAGCAGAAAACTCTGGCAAACATTGAGCAGTCCTATAAAACAAATCGCAAATATACAAAATTTTTAAAGAATAGAAGTCTATTATAAAAACTGTGTGCACACACACCTGCGCTTGACAGATATGCTGAGCACAGAAATGTTCCCTACTGTTCAGTTTCACAAACATTTCACCAACTCTGGTTTAAAATGCATTACACAGCGTATCTTACAAGAATATTTCAAAGCTAGGATTGCTTTTTTTTCTTTTGTTATTTTATGACAGCCCATTCTTAATTCTTTTCGACTATGTCCATTAAAAACAATTTCTATTAAGTAATTTCTTAGTACAGTTAACAAAGACACAAGATGAACTTTGTTTTAACTTAAAACAAGGCACAGAAACATCCTGAAAATAGTACTTCACAAGTTCTTTATGCCTCTCAATAGAGATATTGCACTTAATATATTCTGTGTCAAAGAAAAATACTGAGCTAAAGAACCTTTGCCAATTTAATGCTCTAACAATTTCATATTGGATGCATACATTTCCATTGGCAACAACTCGAAATATAGAGAAAAATTATTATAACTGAATCACGTAATCAGTTAGGTTGCAAAAGACCTCTGAGATCACTGAGTCCAATCTATGACCTAAGAGCACCTTGTCAAGTAGACCACACCACTGAGTGCCATGTCTAGTCTTTCTTTAAACACTTGCAGAGACAGTGAGTCCACCACCACCCTGGGCAGCCCATTCCATTAACTAATCACTCTTTCTATGAAGAAATTCTTTCTCATGTCCAAACCTGCCACTGTCCACTCTACCCTAACACAAACTTTCCCTAGCGCAGTTTAAGACTATGCCCTCTCATCCTGTTGCTAGTTTCCTGGGAGAAAAGGCTGATCCCCACTTGGCTACAACCTTCTTTCAGGCAGTTGTAGAGAGTGATAAGGTCCCATCTGAGCCTCCTTTTCTCCAGGCTAAACAACCCCAGCTTCCTCAGCTGGTCTTCCTCAGACTTGCGCTCCAGACCCTTCACCAGCTTCATTGCCCTTCTCTGGTCTTATTCCAGCACCTCAGGAAGTTGGTCCTTCCTGAACTGAGAAGCCCAACCAAGTTATAAGTTACAAAAAATTAACAATGCAGCATTTTAAGGGATGTGAAGATTTTAATATCATCCAAGAGTTGTCTCCTGGAAGATGACCAGAATAAACTATTTTGCACTGTCATCCAAACAATTTGAATGGAAAAGCACCATACACGAAACCTTTTTTATCTTAAGCCAAGAGAAAAGTGGCAGAACCAGTGAGGTGGGAAGGGACTTCAGCCAGTTTCTATTGCAACCTCCTTTTAAAACCAGGGCCAGCTGGGAGATCAGAGCAACTTCCTCGGGTCTTTGTCCAGTTGCAACTTGAAAACCTCTGAGGACAGAAACTTCACAAGCTTACTGTTCAGCCTGTTGTTTGCCAAGGCCCCCAGGGCCTTTTCAGCTAAGCTACTTCCCAGCTAGTCTGTCAGCCCCAGTCTGTATTGTTGTGGGGGATACTACCTTCCCAGCAAAACACTGGATTTGTACCTCTCGAATTTCATGAAGTACCTCTTGGAAATACATCGCTATGGCCTTTTATGGATTGAGTTCACCCCATTAATCTTCATTCACTACTGGTCAGATTCCCCCTTTTCACTAAGCACAAGGGACTGAAGCAACAAAGGTAACATCATACCTCAACAACATCTACATTCATCAACATTCATCAACAATCCCATGTTTTCTTTGTTCAGTGTTTTATTACCAATGCAGGGCAAGAAGCTCTTCTTCTTGTCCTTGATATCTCTTGTAAACGCCAATTGCAGGTGAGCTCTGTCTTTCCTAATTCTATTTCAGCATGCCAAAGAAGTTATGAAGAGGCATAAAGAAGTTACCCCTGACACCCTCCAGAACACTTCTTGATTGCATACTGATGTGTGGTCCTTTCAGCAGGTGGAAGCTAAAGGCCCCTATAAGAATGGGGTTTTAATGATACAGAGAATTCCTCCAGTTGTTCAGAGGAGACATCGTTCTCTCCCTGATCAGACGGGCAATGAGAGACTCCCACTGCGACACCACCCTTACTGGCCTCTCCTCTGCTCCTCACCCATATGCCCTCAGCCACCCTTACAGTCAAGCTAAGCTATGTTTGTCCCAGAACTTTACCAGCGAAGTGGAAGCCATCCTGGAATTCCCCTGTTTCTGACGATTCAATTGGTTCACCCAGTATTTTCTCAGAGAGATGTATATTTACAGTACATTAGAAGAACCAAAACATTATGGACTTGAAACATGCAGAGAAAGCAGTTGCCTAAAAGAGTTTTATTCAAACCTTCAGCCATTCTTAGTTTAGTCTCTTGTCAATACAGCCAGTCTTCTCTTAAAAAAACTTTATGTCCAAAACATCAAGACTCAGAAGTTAAAGACAGTTTATTTCAGACACTTTATTTTTAGTTCAGGGCTTGTTTTTAAATTAATTTGTGTCTACATACTATGTTTTAGTAAGAAGATGCTTTGAAGAAGCATATCTGAGTTTATTTGAAGCAGCAACACTCACAGATGTCATTTACAGACATTAAGTAGTCTTTCCTTATAACCTACACAGGCTGAAAGAATAAGCAATGTACTAAAATGTAGGGGATTAAAAAAAACAAACAAATGACAAAACAAACAAACAACCCTCCCCAAGCCACCACAAATCTCAAAACTTCTTGAAACAGATAACTGAAGTAATTAATCACAAATATATTTTCCACAATAAAAAGGCTCATATTTCTGTTTTACAGTTAAAATTCACAGAGATTGTAAGCAATTACATTTCAGTGTAGTACAACCTGAAGTTTCTATATAGTACTACAATAACACTGAATATTCATTTAATTTAAATGATCAACAGCCATCAGAAATTATTTAGGCCTATCAGTAACTGTTCTGTGAAGCAAAACATTTGCTCAATAGTAGAGCTAAGCTTTTCTGTTTTCAAAACAGTATTTTGTAAAATTAAATGCAAATGTTCTTGTAACTGGGTCATATATATGAGCCATTTCAAATTTTTCTTTAACAAGAGCATCCTAGATCAATGCTATACATTCAAACATTCAGAAGTACCTCTGCCTTTTTTTTGCATCTCTTGATTTGTCGCCCAAAGTCTTCAACCTATAAATCAAAACACAGAACCATCAGATATTTCCAGCATCAAACCCAGAAAATAAACTGTTTGAGCACATAATGTGTTAATTCCAGTTTATTACAGTAATTTTGTTTCAGCTTATTTTACAAATAAATTCCTATGATGGCCTCCACAAAACTAAGTGAAATTTGATTTATTTCCATTAACACTGCTTCTGAATTATGAGATTTTTCTACAAGTGCATCAAGCATTTTGGTATGAAAAGTTTACTGGGAGAGATATATTCAAATCATCAATATCTTGATATAGTTTCCTTAAAAGACAGGTATTAAAAGACCTGCATAGAAATAACCAATCCAATCACGAGGAACACCATTTACAAGAAGGCTCACACGGCAAGGAAAAGCATGACAGTCACACAGACACACATAGTACCCACTTGCCATAGGTCTGCCAACACAAAACTAGCACACAACTTTCCTTCTGCCAGCTTTCAGAATCTCCAGCAGCATCACCACAAAGCCCTGCTACTGAGCATATCTGAGGCTTGTTCCACCCACAGTCAACTTCAAACTGACTGGTACCTTGTTCTTAAAAAGCACAAAAACCCCTAAACCAACCAAACAACCGAAACCCCAAACAACAACAAACAACCCCCCTTCCCCCTCCGTGCCCACTCTTTCCACTCCTTTCTCTTTTTTCAGTCAACCTGTATATGCTGAAGTTGACAAAGCAGAGTGAGAACCAAAACCTCTGGCTATTCTCTGACCACCAAGATGATGGCTGTCCTCAGTCTCTACTAGGCCCGTTGGAGTCACAGCTGTCCAGGACAGTTAAGAGTCAGGAAGAAGTACAGGACACAGACATGAGCAAGATGGAAATGAGTTTTGAGTAACAAAGATATCCTCCAGCCATGACAGATATGCAATCCTGAGTGATCCAGGGATTAAAAAACAACCTAATATACAAATATTCAGGCTGCTTCAAGGGTGAGCCAAATCACTCCCCCAGTGCTGACCACCACCAATTTTCCAGAAACTCAAAGGAACTTCAAAGTCTACAGCAAAATAGGCAGTTGACCATTTGAGAAAAGACATGCTAAGGCAAGTCTCCACTCCCTGTTAGAGAGCTACTTATAATAGCCAGGCTAAGTAAAATCAGCCACAGCACAGAGGAAGAACACCTCTGTCCTTCTCCTCTGCCATATTCCCCAGTATGCTGGAACAGCAGCACTCCTCTGCATGCAGGAATAAAAGGAAATGCTGGGTCATCACTATCAGTTCTCATCCTAGAATATCTGCCAGGCAGTCGGAAGCAAAGGTTAAAGGATTTATCACTAGACTATAAAGTACCGACTTCCTTTCAGCAGCATTCCCTGTACAAAGTGCAAGGCAGTGTGAGCCACATCACTCAAGCTGTCAGAAGCACAATTACTGCCTGAGCACAGACAAACACAGCTCACTGTTCCATTTTGGTTGTTTTTCTTCCTCCTGCAAAAGATTGCTAACAGGTAAATGGGTCAAAATTTAGATACCTTGCTCGCAGGATACACAGAAATAGACAGTAACACAGCTGAGCAAGGGAAGAGGGCACAGAAATGGCTAAAAACTTTAGACTTCAGTAACTCCATTTCTTTGTGCAGAGAGATGGTTAATAACTCTGAACTGCTCTCTTTAGACCACACATCCCAGATTTAATCTTTTTCAGCCATACACAAACAATTCCTTTGGAAGTGGTATTATTTTCTCAGAAGCCCCGAAAAGCTTCCCCCTCGTGACGTTTCAAGCAATCCAACTGTTCCACTGTGAAAGCATTCAGGCGTAGCTAACAAGTTGGCAACAACTTGACACCAGAAGTATTTTCTAATACTTTCTATGGGTTTTGACAATTTTAAGGTCAAGTCTTAACAGCTCA